TGATGATGAACTCTTAGTTTTTTCTTGTCTGGGAAGCTCTTCAATTCTAAATGATAGCTCTGCTGGGTAGACCAATCTTGGCTGTATGTCTCTGCTTTTCACAACTTTGAGTATTTCTTGCCAATCCCTTTAGCTTGCAAAGTTTCTTTTGAGAAATCAGCTGAAAGTCTTATGGGAACTCCTCTTTTGGTAACTAACTTCTTTTCTCTTGCTGCTTTTAAGATTCTCTCTTTATCTTTAAATTTTGGCATTTTAATTATGATATGTCTTGGAGTAGGCCTCTTTGCATCCATCTTGTTTGGGACTCTCTGTGCTTCCTGGACTTGTACATCTATTTCCTTCACCAAACTTGGGAAGTTTTCTTTCATTATTTTTTCAAATAGATTTCCAATTTCTTGCTCCTTCTCTTCTCCTTCTCGTACCCCTATGATGTGAGTGTTGGACCTTTAAAGTTGTCCCAGGGGCTGTTTACACTATCCTCTCTTTTTTGGATTCCTTTTTCTTCTTGTTGTTCTGACTAGTTGTTTTTTGTTTCCTTATGTTCCAAATCATTGATTTGACTCTCGGCTTCATCCCCTCTACTGTTGTTTCCCTGTAAATTGTTCTTTATTTCATTTAGCGTATCCTTCATTTCTGACTGGATCTTTTTTATGCTGTCGAGGTCCTCACTAAGTTCCTTGAACATCCTTATAACTAATGTTTTGAACTCTGCATCTGGTAGATTGCTTATCTCCTTTTCATTTAGTTATTTTTCTGGAGTTTTGATCTCTTCTAATTTGAGCCATGTTTCTTTGTCTTTTCATTTTGGCAGCCTCCCTGTGTTTGTTTCTATGTATTAGGTAGAGATGCTATGACTCTGTGTCTTGGTAGCGGGGCCTAATGTAGCAGGTGTCCTGCAGGGTCCAGTGGCACAGCCTCCCCTATCACCTAAGCTGGATACTTGAGTTGTGCCCTTTTTGTGGATTGAGTACACTCTCCTCTTGTGGTTGAGCCTTGATTGCTGTTGGCAGGTCAATGGGAGGGTACCCAGGCCAGTCAGCTGCAAGGACTGGCTGTGACCACTGACCACCAGTTTCTGCCCTCCGTGGAGGATCAGGTGAGCAGGGGCAGTGTGGTGGTGCTCCGACATGGTCTGTAGCTGTGCACTGTGGTGCAGGCCCTGGGGTTTCCCGGGTGGTACAGGCCAAGGTCAGCTCCCACCTGTGTTTTGCCTAAGGCCACCCTGCCTGAGCTATAAAACAATCTGAGATGGCTGCTACTTGTGCTTGGCTTGGAGATTGCCAGGTAAATCCAAGCTGTTAATTTAGGCTAGCTGCTGCTAGTGCTGTTCCTGGGGCCACTTACTCACTGAGGCCGGCTGGCTGTTGCTTGTTTGAAAGGAATTAAGAAGTGATGAAGCCTGAGCCAAGACCAGCCATTCATAGGGAAAAGCCACTGTTAACATCTGTAATGGATGGGAGGAGCCTCAGGGCATCTCCAGGGCAGGGCAAACAGTGTTAGTCAGATTGATGGAGTCTCAGATATGGCACTTGCCTGCAGGTTCTGTGGCTCTCTCTCAGGGGATGGTTCAGAAAAGGGACACCTTTCTGTCTGGGAGAAAGCCGTCCCCATCTCTCACCTTGATAACCAGACCCTTCAGTTCCTCCCTGTATGTCCGTAGTGCCTTTCAAGCTGCTACTGTAGTGTTGGAGCTCAGAGGGAGTGAGTCTGAGTAAGTCTGTGTGTGGGTTCTTTAAGGAGGAACTGTTTGGGACTCCAGAAGTTTGTTCCATTGACTCAGTACCTGCTGGATTTTACAGCCAGAAGTTATGGGGACTTAATTTCCTGGCATTGAAACCCTAGGCTTGGGGTCCTGGTGTGGGGCTGGCACTCCTCACTCCTAAGATATCCCTTCTGAGTTTTTATCCACCACACTTGGATGTGGGACCAGCCTGGTCCACATCTCTTCCCCTCCTACCAGTCTGGATAGATGTGGTTTCTTTAATTCTGTAGTTGTCAGACTTTATTCAGCTCGGCTTCTGATGGTTCTGAATGATGGTTGTTCAATAATTAAGTTGTAATTTTGATGTGGTTGTACAAGAATGCAAGCTGTGTTTATCTATATAGGAATGCATTTTTTTTTAATGCACAAACTGAAATTCTGTTTAAAATGTTAATTTATTTAATTCACCTGATATAATTGGCAAAATGGACTCCTGACAGGGAAACATTTGTGTTGTTTCCAGTTTTTTGCTATCTTTTCTCTTCTTCATGAAAATTTATTCCATTTCCTATTTCAGATGTGGGAATTTCCCATTCCCACATTTCCCCAGTTTCCCTGGCCAGCAACTTGGGAATTATCCTTTACCACTACACCTTACCAACAATCAGTCATTAATCCTGACTATTTTAGCTCATAAATTCCTATCTTCTCCGTCCCATAGACTTTATCCCATTACACTCTTTTGATTATCCATATGACTATAATTTATTTAGTACTGGCTATATGTTTTTTATATACATGAAATAATTTAATCCACAGTAACTGTGAGGAAGGCAATTTTATCCCAATTGCATATATGAGAAAATTGAATCTCAGAAAGATTGTCTTATATAAGATTACTTTACTAGTAAGTGGTGGAGAGGTCAAGTTAGGATTAGAACTCAAGACTATATGACCTCAAAACTGATACCCATAACCATTATTCTGTTCTGGACCACATTCATCATTGTCAACAACAACCTCTTATTTGGTCTCCCTGTGCACAGTCTTGTTTCCTCAAATTCATATCACCCCATTTGAAATCCTTCAGTGGCTCCCCCTTGCCTAGAACCTGACAAAGGCCAAGTTTCTTAGCATGGAATACTATTTTCCATTTTCCATCTCTCCTCCTTACCTCTGTGCTCCAGCTATGTAGAGGTACAGGCCGTAACTCAGATATATCATGTTCTCTCTTACACTTTATGCCTTTCTAATTACTTCCTCTTCTTTTTTGCATGGCTAGTTCTTGTTTGTCCTTCAAGCCTCAATGCAGATCTCCCAAACATTCTTTTGAGAAACATTTCCTAACTGCCTCTTACCCCAGTCCATTTTGGCGCAGCTCCTCTGTGCTCCAAGAGCACTCTCTGCTCTTGCATAGCACTTTCATACATTTCTATTATAGTAATTATCATGCCCAGAACAAACTGATTGTTCAGTGTTCACTGCTTCTATTAGACAGACAGCTCCTTGAAGACAAGTGCTATTTTTAAATCCCTTTTTGTAACTGTGGTGCCTAGCATGTGGAAGCATTCCTCAAATATTTGTTGACTAAATAAAATACTGTGAAAGGAATCATTTAAATTGAGCATAAAAGTACCTATTCTTGTGCACACTGATTTTTATTATCTTGTACACACTGCTTTTGATTTTGATTTGGAAGTTGAGATACTGAAGCAATAATAGCATATTGTAAGGTAGTTTATACAGCCCGGGGTACCATGTGACTGACACAAATCTGGGTTTGCCCTCTGTATGTCAATTTGGGGGGGAATAGCTTATGGAATCCCTGTATGAAACTTGGCCGCTTCAGGTTATTTTGGGAAGTTTCTCTTAAAAATAATGGAAAATATGGAGTTGCCTCATTATGGTGGGGAGATGTTTACTCCAAAGTGGTAACAAGAAGTCTTTGTTAAGAATTCTGGGTGTCACGGTATAAACCATAGTTCTTGGAGGTTCCACAAAACTTATCAGTTGGCGCATTTAAAGTCTTCCCTTGCCTTTGGACCTAAAGTTTTTTGGTCTTGATGAGAGATGAAGGAGAAACACCCAGCTTACCCACTTTCTGACAGGGCTTAAACAAATGTGTGCTTAGTTTTATACTATAGAACAATATTATATTGTGACATTTTAAACATATTTCTTAATTATCTGTATTAACTGAGTAAGCAGGGGAAATAAAAGGAAACTAGTCCTCATTCTTGTGCTTTTTGTCTGTCGTAGTGACTATCTTTATGTAACAGTTAAAGTGGTATACCAGGAAATATAAGACAGTGGCGTTGAGGCTATTGCTCGGCTGGGGCAAATTGGATGATCACCTGTGCTTTGCTGCTGTTGGTAGAGAGTGAAGAGGGGGCACCTCACTCTCCTTGTCTAAATACCACTAAAATTCAATTTTGAACTTTTTAGAGGAGGGAATGAGGAAGGACTGGGAGGAGCTCCTGTGATGCTGGTAATATTACATGCTTGCTTTGGTAATTTACTGCTCTATACACTTATGTTTTACATACTTTTCTCTATGTATCTTATGCCAATAAAAATTTTTAAAACAATTTAATTAGAAATTTCTGTTTTCACAGTTTTCCCTAGGAACCTATGAAAGATGTTAAGGATGAGGCTCTTTGCAAGTATCGTTATTTTGCATGGTCCATCACAGTGGTGGGCAGACTCTAAGTGGGGCTGAAGCACGGTAAAGGGAGAGATTAGTGTGGACAAGAGTAGTCAGGCAAAACAAAACAGTCGTTCAGTAAACATTCATTGCGTACGAACCATGTACCAGGTGCTGTGCTGACAGAAAAGCTATACAAGACCAGAGGTCAGAGTGGAGGGAAAAATAAGATCTGGGTGATGTCAATAATCCTGGTTATAGATAAAAGCTCTTCTAGCCTTTATAGTATAATAAAAATAACAAGTACTTATTTAGCATTTCTTGTTTACAGAGAGTATTACATCTATTCATTTAATCTTCACAATAACTCTCTGAAATAGGCACTACTACTAATATTTTATAGATGAGGAAACTGAAGTACAGAAATACCTAAAGACACTCAGCTAGGAAGTAGTGGAGGCTAGGATTTCAGCCCAACTGTCCAGTCCTGTTTTTCTACTCAAAATTGCTATGCTGTATGAAATTAATGCAAAGAATTTTGGAGATGTAGGTTGACCTGGAGGCACTGTTTGAAGATGGTCAATAATCCTGATTCTGGTACTCTCTTATTTATGTTTTGGAGATCTGTGTGAATGCCTTTTCTTCTTTTTACAGACATGGCTGGACTCTGCCAAAGAAATAAAAAAGCAGGTTCGTGGTAAGTGAATGTTGCCTTTTTTATAGTTCTTTCTTTTAGTATGTCAGAAGATTTCTAACCATTTTCTGGCTGTTAGTCACTTTATAATCCTGACTGTAGCAGGTGGCTTTGAAATTGAGGTAAAGCCTTCGCCTAGAAGAAGGGGATTCCATAATAGAAAGACAGCAGTAGTGGATCCTGTTGAGATGTAGGTCAGATCTTGATGATTTTTTTTTTTTTTTTTTTTTTTTTTTACAACTAGGCAAAGTTGGGGAAGATAGGAACAGTTGAGAGAAACAGAAAGAACAAAGGTGAAAAGAGAAAAAGGATATGGGAGTCAGTTCTCAAAAGAGTAGTAGTTGAAATTGGAGTAGGCTTCAATTAGAAGTATGCTGCCTGATTTTGTTCTTTTTAAATTGTTCTGGACTAACCATCTTCATGTTTTCCTCTCTGTGGTTCTTTTTGTCCATTTTCAACATTCCTCTTCCAAACTGAAGTGTAAGAATAGAAGAATAAGAATTCTTTGCCAGTGACCCTTCTGACCTTGTGGCTTTCTCCTAGCTTCAAACCCTCTAGAATATATTACTGCTGCACACCCTTCTCCTCCTAGTATCTAGAAATAGATATTCCTAGGTCAAAAAAGTATAAATTAGTATTTTCTAGCTGCAGACTTAATGGGTTGGCTGAAGGGTAGAGACCCCAAAACCCCATCCACCCGCTATTTGTGACCAGATATCCTTTTAGTTTGGTTTATTTTGAGGAAACTTATAGGAACTGTAAAGATGTTATTCATCATGATTAGTAACTTTTAGTTATCACCTAAAAACAAATTTTAATTTGTTTCTTAAAAGAAAATAATTTTATTATGGTGAAATGTTTTCCTTTAGACCCTATTCATAATTTATATTTCTTAAGACAGAGAAACAAAATACTCTTTTGGTCTGGCAACTTTTCATATTTGCTTCCAGCCTATAAAATCTTGCTTTATAATGCAAGTCAGCAAAAAATATTCAGCACATTTGAGACATGACAAGAAAAACATAACTCCTAGCTCCTTTCAATGAAAATATTTTTAGTATTCAATTTTACTTAGGAATAAATGACTATACATGAAGACGTTTTAAAAAATATTTTATTTATTTAGTTTTTAGAGAGAGAGGAAGGGAGGGAGAGAAACATCAATGTGCAGGAGAAACATCAGTTGGTTGCCTCTCGCATGCCCCCAACCAGGGACCTGGCCCTCAACCCAGGCATGTGCCCTGACTGGGAATCGAACCGGCGACCCTAAATCAGTGTTGCTGATTCAGAAGCAGAAATTTTAATGTTGAAACTTTTTAGGGCTTTTCTAGCTACCATTTTTTCCCACTAAACATTCTGTATAAGGTATTACTAATAATATGTATCATATTCTAGAAATAGTCACTGACTAAAGCTTAATTTTAATATTTTTTAAAATTCCAACTGATTAACTTTTTTAGCCTCCCTGTTGCATTTAACCCTCAGTGTGCATGCAGTGAAACTGGATATCTTTAAAAGTGTCCCAAACTTGTATCTCTTGCATGGAAAAAATTGGAACTGAAAGTTTGGGTTCCTCTGCTTACAATTGCTATTAACAAAAGTAAAAGAGTTAATTTTGGGGACATATCTGTTTAGATATTACTCTTAATACAGCTAAACTTCCTTATTTTGGGTTTAACAGAGAAGGAAAGTCCAAGCAGAATACAAGGTTATTGTTTTTTTTCTGTTTTTCTTTTTTTGTGGTTTGATTAGGTCTAGTAACTTGAGATCAGTGGGGGATCTGGATTAATAAATAAATAAATATTTTAAAAAAATCTCTCAAGGATATGTTTATTGATTTTAGAGAGAAAAGGAGGAAGAGAGAGACTCTCTCTCTCTCTCTCTCTCTCTCTTTGTCCTGCGGGAAAGAAACATTGATTGGTTACCTACCATATGTGCCCCAACCAGGGATGGAGCTCGCAACCTAGGTACGAGCCTTGACCAAGAATCGAAACCACAGCCTTTTGGTGTATGGCTCCAACACCAAACCCAGTGTTCCAACCCACTGAGCACCCCAGCCAGGGCAATAAATAATTTTAATATACTAGTACCTATTCTTCTTCTTTTATGTGGTCCTTTTATTTAAAAAAAAATATTTTCTGGAACTGTAGCATTTTCCTATAACCTTCACAATAATGCATGAGATCAGTTAATTTATTTCATTTATTTTCTCAACAAGTATTTCTTGAGCATTCATGATATGCCAAGCACTGTTTTAGGCACTAGGGATATACATGAAATAAAACAGAAAAAATTCTTGCCCTTGGATATTAGCATTTTAGTGAGAGGAGGCAAAGTTTATCCTTTTTCAAAATTACATATGTATGTTTGTGTTTATATCTATACATATGTGCATATATCTATTAAGTACTACATGTACAAAGTACAAACAAAGATCAAGTGTTATAAAATAGTATGTAGTGAGAGTAGGCGTCCCTTCTAACCGTTTTCCCCTAGGCTCTCACTTTCCCTCCCCAGGAGTTCCCCTTCTAGTTTCTCAACTATTATAACTGGTTTATTGTATCCCCTTTCAGGAATAGACTATGTGTATGTAATCATACCTGTAGTATATACTTTTTTCCACCCCAACTTTCATGGTTGCTTTCTATCTGATAAAGCGAAGTTCAGTAAAATGTGGTATGCCTGTATTGAGTGAGGTCGCAAATAAATAATGCCAACACCAAAAGAGAAAATTCATGGATCATTCAAATGACTTATGAGGACTCAGAGTGGTATATGAATCACATTTTGGAAACTATTGCTTTAAACATGTTGACCTATAAGATGGTTTCCTTTCTGTTATTTTGCCTATATAGTATTAGTGTTTTGTAAACAAGACTATATTAAGTTGGGTTTTAAAAAACTGAAATCCTCTAACTCTATCGCTTAAATGGTATTTAAACAGCTTCTTATACGTGAAAAATTTCATTTACAAAGCATGAAAATATTAAAACTTCAGGAAAGAAAAAAAATTTGAATATTTTTAGGTATTTCTAATAATCAGAAACTTAGGCATACGCATAAAATTCTTTTGCATTTATTTTTACAGGTGTCCCTTGGAATTTCACATTTAATGTAAAGTTTTATCCACCTGACCCAGCACAGTTAACAGAAGATATAACAAGGTAAACCCTTTATTAACAGTTAACTATGTAATAAGTAATTCTCATTATCATAAGCTCTGGGAGTTTCTCTTTTCAGGATTGAAGAAAGATGATGAGCTAGTAAACCTGAGATAGAAAGTTTCTGATTACCTCAAGGCAGGCTAGCAAATAAGTGAGCCTGAAAGCCTCAGATATCTGTGATTTGACTGGGAAAAACTGGTGGGGTAATATTTTGCTTATCATGGGTATTATGCCAAGCCATGGGCAGGGCACCTATAAACCATACCAACTTCCAACGGGCAAGACACAAATGTAGTAGTAAAATAATTTTGCTTTTATTTCTTTAAGTACTCCCCTCCCACCATGTTCTTTCTTATAGGGATTTAAAAAGCTAAAACCTAAGTGTTGTTAGTAGTTCTTCCTATCTCGCCGTTAAAGTATATGATTAGGTAAATGATCCTTATGAGTTAAGTCTTTCTCAGTAATTTTTGAGCCCACTTAATTTATGAAATAAATCTTGTACTTTTTAAAAATAGCTTACTGGTTTAAGAATGTGGCCTTTCTTGGATTCTATATAAATATTAACAAAAAAGAAAATGGAAAAGCAGTATATAGTAAAGAATGCTACTGTATGTATTTATATACATAGCATCTTGCTTGGAGCCTACACATAGTAGATGGTTGGCAAATGTCTTTTAAATTGAATTGTCAGTTGTTGAGAAATAACTTTCTAGTTCTGTTCTTTGCTGTGAACTATCTGATTGCAGACAAACATACATTTCTGTGCTTTAGTTTTTTTCTCTCTCAAATAAGGGAATAGCCTAAGACTTAAAAAAGTCTGATTATTAAGTACTGTGAACTTTCTGTATAGTTTTAAAAAAATTATTCTTTGTCTAGTTATACTTAGTACATTCTTAAAGTTGAGATACCCTATCTCTGCCTGAAAAAAATTGGTTATTTTTCACAGGTAATATTTGTCTCTTAGTGTTGCTACTTACTCATCTCTCTTCACTGAAGTTTATTATGTACACAACAAAACAAATCTCTAAAAATCTTTATTATCTATATTTTAGAGGAGCTTAATTAAGATTCTTGTGGTTGGTTGGCAATGCTCTCTTTTAAACATAAATGTAGTAGTGACTAATTACAGATAGCAAAAACTATTGCCAATGCATATCTTATTCAATATTTTATTATGGTCAAAGCAAGGATATGATATAGAAAATTAAATTTAATCATGCCTCCCAGCTTTCCTTTTTGGTAACAATCTGAACTAGTCATCTCAGTCAGTTAGAACAAGAGCTAGGAGGTCAGGGTCGTTGGTGTGAACATTATACTGACAGAAACCAATGTCTAACACATGGAGGGACATTCTGTTGGTTTGTTGGATTGAACTGTTTTAACACCAATCTGTATTCCCAGCAGTTAGCACACTGGTGGAATTAGTCTTACAAGATGATAGTGTGTGAAGGCAAGTGCAGCTTAAGCCCATCTTGGAGGAAAAACACACTGAAAAATGTTCATATTCTAGCGAAAATGTATCAATAATTTCATTTTTGTTTACGAAGAGCAATATACTGGCAAAGGAGTGTGATAGGAAAGACAGGGCGCAATTTCAGAGTCAAACAGCCTTTATTACTATCCAACATTGAGCAAGCATCCCCTGTGAGGCTGATTCCTCATCTGTAATCTAGCAGTGATCCCCCCTTACAAATTTTCTATGTGAAGGTTAGGCAAGGTAATATATGTCTATGTGATTCTTAGTGTAGTCAACAAAACATGAGTTTCTTTACCTCCTTCAGACTTTCCCCCACTTTTCCTCTTTTCTTTCTAAACTTCTTCCCAACCATGCCTCCAACAGTTTAAAAAAAACTTTTTATATCAAAAAATTTCAAACACACAGAAAAGAACAAATAATAGTACAAGGAGCAATCATATACCCACTACCTAGATCAAACAATTATTAATATTATCTCATAGTTACTTAATCACTTTTTTTCTCTCTCCTCTTCTTCCTTTTTCTCTCCCTATATTTTGTTATTGTTGTTGCTGACATGGTAACATCTTTTTTCTTTTGGCTATAGATATTATTTATGTCTTCAACTTCGGCAGGACATAGTTGCAGGACGTCTGCCTTGTTCCTTTGCAACCTTAGCATTATTAGGTTCTTATACCATCCAGTCTGAGCTGGGTGACTATGACCCAGAACTCCATGGTGCGGATTATGTTAGTGATTTTAAACTGGCCCCAAATCAGACCAAGGAACTTGAAGAGAAGGTCATGGAACTACATAAATCATACAGGTAAATATGTCTCCAGGGTTTGTTCTATGTTTGTTTTGACAGTAAGTTTGAATCCTTGACTTGGTATTGATTCAGTATTTTCCTTAGTGGAAACTGGTGCCATAGAAAGAATCAGCATAAACTTAATTCCCTCACAATTTTTTGGGTAAGTCGTTTAAAGCCCTCTGACCCTCAGTTTGCACATCAGAGTAATGGGTGTTGCATTGTAGGAGAACACTAAATGAGGTAATATATGCAGAACTCTAAGCACAGTACCTCTGGCACATAGTAGGTGCTCAGTAGATGGTATGTATTATTATTATTCCAAATTTTAAACTTATGCTGTATTTGGTGTCTTGAAATTCTTAGTGCAGGGTTTCTTAACTTGGGGTCTATGTACATGGATAGACTTCAGAGGGCTCATGAAACTCCTGAAGGTATATTTTAAAGTTTTTATTAAATTTACTGTTGTTTTTTTTTTCATGGAAATATTGATAATATTGGGAGGTATTATAAAATGCTGATCAACAGTAAGGGTTTATAGTTGTATTGAGCTGGGTTACATTCTTGGATCTGCTTGGTCCTGCCCTCGGGACTTTGGGTCATTCATTTAATCTCTCTGAGCCTCAGGTTTTTTATATGTCTGATAGAAATTATTTACCTCAGAGGAAATAGGGTGGTTGATAGGATTAGAAAAGGTAATGTGTGGAAAAACTTAATACAATGTCTTACACATAGTGAAAATTCAATAAATGTTAGCTAATAGTAAAGTGCCAGAATAATTTGTGTTTCTTCTACCATACATTCCATTGTTATGTGAATGACTTACTATGCTAAATTTTTTAAGCTCCCTTAGCATACTAAGGCAAATGTCTGATCCTGACCTTGAGTTTGTACCTTGAGTTATGTTAGTGAATTATGTTACGATGTTCCAAACGGTCACACTGCTGAGAAATCCAGAACAGTCTTAATAGGCTTTACATGGTAGTAACAAGTATTCTGTCGGGTCAGTGAGCAATCTTGTTTTCCTTGGAGTGGTTCCAACAGGATTGTATGGATTGAGATATTTAAAATAAGAGAGCTTTAACTCAAGATGCCCCAATTCTGGTTGTCTTATTGCCCCTGTAGGTTCTGGTATATCAGTCATGGGAACCATGAGGACTTTATAAAGTCTACAACCTACATAGCAATAATCTTAAAAGAATCACCCTGCTCTCATTGAGTCATACTGTTTCCAGGGAGAACTATACATTAATATCTAGGACCCACTAAATATACCATTTGTAACTTGTTAATGACTGTAACTTAAGGATGTTGCATTGTCCTTATTTCATTTTAATACTTTTATTTATATTCTGATTATGATTCTAGAAATTTACATATATAAAATATATTCACTACATATATTTACAAAACCAAGTAGTAGGAAGAAACAATCAATTGAAATAATTCGATTTGTTAGAATGTTAGGATTATAGCAGAATGCTCTTTTTATTTTCTAATAATTTAGAAATGATTTTCTAAGCCTTACCTGACTGGTGTGGCTTAGTGGGTTGGGCATCATCTGCAAACCAAAAGGTTGCCTGGAGACATACCTGGGTTGTGGGCCAGGTCCTCAGTTGGGGGAGCATGTGAGAGACAACCAGTCAGCGTTCTCACATATTGATGTTTCTCTCCTTCTCTATGTCCTGCTCTTCCCCTCTCTCTATAAATGAATGAATGAATGAATGAATGAATGAATGAATTTTATTAATAGTATAATCTTTGGGCAGTCAGTAAAATTGTGTGTGTGTGTGTGTGTGTGTGTGTGTGTATTTTTTTTACTACTGCTGTGGAGCCTAACAGCAGATGGTATCAGATTATAATCAATACTTTAAATCTGTCTCTGATGATTCTTTTAATGGTTATTTGATTATAATAGAATCTCAGGTTTGGGAGGACTTTATAGTCTATCTCTGTTCTAATGTTTGGCTCTCCTTTGTAGTATTATTACACAGTCATTATAAGTTGCTAATTATTGTGTATCATGTGCCAGATACTATACTAAGCACTTTATGTGCAATATCACATTTAATCTTCATAGCCACCCTTTTAGTTAGGCCAGCCTGGTGGTCTAAAAGATTTTTTCAAGGGGTCCATGAGATCAAAATTATTTTCATAGTAACTATAATGATATTTACCTTTTTCACTGTGTTGAAATGGGTAAAGCACGAATCAAGGCAATGACACCAAACTAGTTGTCATTATATTCTTTATCAACATGCACTTTTATTTTTTAACTTGCCATTATAAAGATTAAAAGGGCCAGTTCAATTAGAAATTTTCTTGATGAGGCAGTAAAAAAATGGTTATTTTATTAAATCTTAAATACATTTCTATTTAATATCCTGTGTGATTAAATCTGACATACATAGAACACAATTACACTGCATACTGAAGTACAATAGTTGTCTTGAGGAAAACATCTGCGTAATTGTTTTGAGGTGCGAACTGAATTAGCCACCTTCTTAATAAATACCATTTTTACTTGAAAAAATGACTATTATTATTCAGACTTGGTTATTTGGAAGCTATTTTCTTAAAAATGAAGTGAGCCGGTACTTTTAGGATTAGTAAACAACTGACAGTATTTGTTGCTAATGACAAAATTCAAGCCTTTAAGTGAAAATTAGAATTTTGGAAAACTTGTATTTGTCACCATGATCTTGACAGGATCCAAATACTTAAAGGCTTTTCTGATGAAGTTGTGATGATTTTAATGAATGTAATTTTTTCCTTATATTGTACAATGAAACGTGTCAACATTTGGAAGTCTTGTATTACTCAGTGAATTAGTATTTTTCAAATATGAAATGTATGTTGTAAATCATGCATGGGTAAAAAAAAAGGTCCATTTAAAACATTCAAAATGCAAGATAGACTAATGAATTTTAATGCAACAGAGAATAAAAGTTAATTGATATGTTTTCAGATTTCACATTGCATCTAATCTTTAAGAAACTGCCATTGTTGAGTTTTGGTATCATATCCAAGAAGAATATTTTTAATTATTAATCCTTTCTTTTCCAACTTTGTGTCTGTGTGAGATCACATTAATATATTATAACAAAATCAACATATTGCAACAGATTGAATACAGAAGCAGAAAGGAATATCCAACCTAAGCCAAACATTTAAGAAATTTGTAAATATGTAAAACAATGTCCATTTTTTACTACATTTTGAGACAATATTGTTATTTTTTACATAAAAAATTATGTTAAAATATGAGTATTCAAAAGTTAATAAATATTTTAAATTTTTCTTTGTTTTAATTTCTAATATATTAAATGTTGATAGAAATAACACACATAAAGTAAAGCTCTTTGGAGTCCTCAATAATTATTAAGAGAGTGAAGGGATCCTGAGGTCAAACACTTTGAGAACCACTGAACTAGGTCATAAGACAGCTCTGACCTAGTCGTGAGCTCTGGAGTCTGCCTGTCTTACTCTGAGTTCACATGCCATTCCTTGTTAGCTTTATGACTCTTAGTAGGTTAAGTGCTCTGAGCTTTAGTTTTCTGATCTGAAAAGTAAGGGTCATGATGTGAATTTTGTGACTGTTAAATCAGAAAATTCATGTGAAATGCTTAGCATCATGATTAGTATGTAGTGAGAATTCATATGTTTGCTAGGATAATAATAATTCTTGTCCCTATTTTATAAGTGATGAATGTGAGTTTGAGTTTAGGGAGCCCCTCTTTGGAACTTAACAGAATGTAAGCCCCAGCAGGCGAAATGATCTCAGAGGACAAACGGATATGGTTCACTTGATGTTCTGTTAGGTATACAGATAGAAATTAAGCAATAATGGATTTCCTTGAATAGAACATTTAGTAGTCTGTCATTTTGGAATTTATTTGCTCCTTTTTAGAAAGGGTAGCAACCCTCACAAATAGAAAGCCAAATGGGAGTTTTAATTATCTTCAACAATATGGCGTTTTAACCAATTCAAGACACTTTTGCTTAGGCTGAAGAATTTTACTATACATTGAAAAGTACAATCAAATAACACCCTGCTCCTCAGATAACTAGAAGACAACTAATGTATATGGAGCCCTTAGTAGGGGCCCTTTGCCTGGACAGAGACTTTGAAGCTATAATTACACTTTAAATTTACACTAGCAAATCAAGCTTTAAAATTAATTGCCATCCATTTTATGGGTACTAGGAAGGTATGTAAACTTGTCAGTTGTCTTCCTTAATTATTTGAAATCACAGTCCTTAATTAAAAGATGCAACAAACATCATTAAAAGGCTGTCACATATCATTGGAACTCACCGAATGGCTCTATATCCTGACCCCACTTGCTCATAATAAATGCAGAGAAACTTTGTTATAACTTTCCTTTTTAATGTGCAAGAGTTTACCAGTGCCAGAGCTTCCTGGTTAGGTACTTTTGTAAGCTGCAGTACTTTCAAGTAGTAAATTATTAGGTAGTACTTAATAATTCAAGACAGTAATCTTAATGGTTTAGAAGTATCTAATCTCTTTCCAGCTAACTTGTTGCTACTTCCAAGAGTCTTGGGAAACTTGGGAAAAGCCATGATCTCTAAAATATGAAATACTTTAATATATTACATTTATAAAATATATGTTATATTTACATGTACAGATGTCTGTGGGTGATGGGATTATAGGAGATTTTTTTCTATGCTCTTAATATTTTCCAAACTTTATACAATGAATATATATGATTTTTATAATCAGAAAAGGCTTCTTTAAACAGTTTTTTTTTCCCAAAGCCATTAGGTGGGGTAGAGCAAGATAGTTCTCCATGCAGAAGGGCAGTCTGGCTGGGGATAGTAGGCCGTAAGTAGGGCAGGGGGAGTGTTCGTAGGGTTGGGGGGGCAGTCTGGCATGAAAAGTCGGAGCTCACACAGGATGAAGAGAATAGTGATGTATGGGTACATGGCGGTGGTTATCACAGGCAGAGCAGAGTGAGAAAGGCATTCACATGGGGGTAAAGCCAGCATGGTGTGCAGGACATCCATGTGGGTGGTCCCCGATTCAGTGTGTTGAAGCTTGAGCAAGATGAAGAACATGTCCATGGAAAGGGGGAGCCTAACACCACGAGTCAGAACCTGAGTGAGGTGAGGAGGACAACCATGTGTGGGAAGTAGCCCAGCACGGGGAAGTGAGAGGCCAGGTGGCTGAGGAGAGCATCTGTATGGGGGACAGGTCAATGGCAGCAAGGAGAGATTGGTTATATACAGGAGGGTAATCAAATTAGTCAATACATTAAGGATAACAGGAGCCAGGTTTCTTACTGTCTGTAAAGGAGATACAAATTTTGGAGAATGAGAAACTAAAATGAACCCTGTGACATTGCAATAAAATTGGAGGTTTCAAAGTGAACTCATGGTTTCTGGTAGGTAGGTAGGTACACACACAATCACACACATGCACACACACACACTGAATTGCTCTAACAATGCTTTGTACCAAAAGGAAGTGCTCAAAAAATGATAGGAAATCATCAGGAAGACACAGAATCCAGGTTGGAGAGGCTCCCATTGACCAAATTTAGAATAATTTAAGCACAAAATAAATAAGGAAAATAATTTATTATATTGCATTGAATAAAATGAGAAATCCATGAATTCATACTGGTATAAATAAATGAGTAAATTGAAAGTTTGATAAGGAATAGGATATTCAAAAATTTCAAACATTATCTCAGTAAATTTAATTAAAAAGAAAAAGAAAAAAAGAGGTAGAAAAAGATTTCAAAATACATTCCCACAAAATGGTTATTAATTACAAAGAGATAAAGAGCAGAAGCCTGGCAGACATCATTGATCAAAGTGAACATCATCCATGAAGGGACAGATTGAAACTATATACCACCTGATAGGCTGTACTGAGAACTAGGGTCATTTCTGTGATGTTCCTGTTAAAGATGCATAATCTGAATCAATTTATGGAGAAACATCAGTCCCAAATTGAGAAGGCATTCTACAGAATAATTGGCCTATGATCTTCCAAAGGTCAAGAGTATGAAACAAAGATGAAGGAACTGTGCCAGACTGAAGAAGACTAAAGACACATGAACTCAATGAAACTTCTGATGCTAAACTGGATTCTTTTGCTGTACAGAATGTTTTTGAAACTGGCTAAATTTGAATGGGGTCTGAGGGTTAGATGGCAGTGATGTATTAATATTTCCTGGTTTTGACAGTTAAATGAGGTTATGTAGGAGAGTGTCCTTGTTTGTAAGAATTACACAGTAAAGTATTTGGAAGTGATGGGTCATCAGGTTGATGGTTTACTCTCATGGTTCAGGAAAAAATTACTTGTATTATATGCAATTTACTTTAGTTTGGAGTCTGGTGCTCAGTCCACTGAGCCACACCAGCTAGGGCTAGGCAACTTATTTTAAAGATTTTATTTTTTAATTACAGTTTACATTCAATATTATTTTATATGAGTTTTTGTATTATAGGTGACTTTTAAGTTTGTGTTTCAAAATTCGTTAAATTATATTATTTTCAACTAATAAGGAAAGTTATAGTTTTAAAGTTAAAGATTTCTTTTTATTACCTGTCCATAATAAAGTTTTAAAGCATGCTTACTTAGAAAAGCATTTAACCACATAGTTTGAAATTTAAATCTGTATTCAAATTGATTGACCCCATTAATGTCCCTTAGAGTTGGAGCAGTGAGTTTAGGGAATATTTTGTCATGAGTGCTTCATTTAATGTTTTAAAATTTGTCTTCAAATTCATGTGGTCCAAATTATTTCTCTTTTATGAGCTGCATAAGATATATCACTGTATTATCAGAAACCTAAGTTTGCAATAATAATAAACATTTATATTTTACAAAGCAGTTTCACAACCATTACCTCATTTTGTCCTACCAGTCACATTTATTCATTCAGCACAGAAAAAAGTCATTGCCTATCCTAGTCTCTGAAAGTAGGTATTATTATGATTCTTTATAGTTGAAGGAGACACCAGGTTTCCACTTTTAAAATGCAGGAGCCAGGATTCCAGTTCACGTGATAAAACTTGAGTGCTGACTAAATCCCGCTGCATTAAACAAGGAGTCATAACTTGCCCATGACCATGTGATCCCTCAGGGCCTGTTTGTTCATCAGCAAAATGAAAATGTTGAACTCTGTAATCTTCAAGCCACATTCCAGCTTCAAAATCCTAAAATTCAAGCCATTGATAATAGTAACAACAGAAACATAAAATGACTGGAATAACCTTAACTATAAAAATATTTAACTTCTGTGTGGGGGGGACGACCACAAAACTTTTCTCAGATGTTTTTAATGACTTGAGTATACAGACTTGTAAATGTCTTAATTTTTCCTTCTTTTATTTTGTGTGTTCAATTTCAGATCCATTAATAAACACAGTTCAGATGTGACAGTGTAGTGCTTATGAAAAGAAGTTTATTCAGGGAGGCTGAGACATCAAATCTGCTCCCTCTCTCCTGAGATTTTTTTTTTTTTTGGTGGTTGTCAGGAGGAACCCTTTGTTCTTTTTAATGAGGGTAAAGACAGATGGGTTAGGAAGAGACTTTTTCCTCCTGTTAAATGAATAGGCCACTGCTGCTTTGTATGGCTTGAGCCAGTCTTATGGGAAACAGGCATTTCCATGGTTTATCTTTGGGGGTGTGGGTACATTATTGTTACTATGAAGTTATATTTGATTGGTCTGAATTGTGCAACACTAGGAGTGTTATCTTTCTCTTCAAAGCTCAACATGGCTGCTCATAAGCACTTTTCCAAAGAGAAGAAAGTTAAAAAGAAGGAAAGACCATCCCAGTGAGTGTTTAGGCAATGAGACTGATTGTTTTCAAACAAATCAAATTCATTACATGCCTAGTAATGAAGACGTCTTAATAACAGAGAAAGCAGCCCCATTATCTACATGCTTCTATTAACCAATTTATTTTGTTTAGATCAGTGGGCAGGAACACCATCTGTTACCAGAAATTTTCTTTTCATTAAGCCTGCCCCCATTAAGAGTTCAGTTAAGTAACTTCAGCTGCCCTCCTGTTTAATTTCCATAACTCAATTTAGTGGTATGGAGAGAAAAAGGCAGCTAAGAGGATATTGTAAATTATACTGTGCTTTCAGAGGATTTAATTTGGTCACCCCTTTAGCAATAAAAATTAGTGGGAGGAGTTTATGTGTGTTGGAGAAAAAGGCTGAGGAGAGGGAGGGGAAGAACTGACGGTAGATGAGGCTACTTTAAGGAAACTGTTTAATACGATTTTCAAAAAACTTTCTGTTTTTGGTGGACTTTTTGTTTCTCTAAGATTTTAAGACGTATTTCAAGACTCATTTTCTATAATATTGTACTTTTAGAACTATGAACTCTATCTACATGCATATTGGTATATATATGTTTATGTAAAATACAGTTACTATACAAATGTTATTGTAAATGTTGACACTGTGACACTGAAAGAGTTTTAAATTTGTATTCTATCAAAGGTCCATGACTCCAGCTCAAGCTGACCTGGAATTTCTTGAGAATGCCAAAAAGTTGTCTATGTATGGTGTTGACCTTCATAAAGCAAAGGTAATGATAACTTTGGCCTTTATTCACATGCATGTGTCAGACCTATGTGTCATAGAACACTTCTCACCAACCTTTATCTGGGATATTATTATAAAACATCCTAAAGAGATAGGAATTTTTATTAGAATTTTAAGTCTAAAGAGTGAATCATTCAAGTGTATTAAGTATGTAAATTGAATTACCCCTTTGCAGTTCCACCATCAGAATTCAAGTTGCGTATCCAAGCCACCATATAGATCAAAAGATATAGCATCTAGAGCAAAAGAAATTGTTTTGTTAAAATACAGACACATTTGAAAACATAGAGTGACATCAACACATGTTTCACAGGCAGCATCACTTATATCAGACTCACTTGGTGTGTTTATTAAATATGCAGGTTCCCACACTCCTCCCAGATTTATTTTGAATTATTTTGGAGGAGAGGCTAAATTTCCAGATTTAATGAACATCCCAAATGATTCTCATCTATGCTTGAATCTGAGAATGATTGGCCTAAGGTAGCAGTTCTCCAAGTGAGGTCTCTGAACCAGCATTTAGCATCTCTAGGAACTTATTAGAAATGCACATTTCAAGCCCCATCCCAGAATTACTGAATCAGAAACTTTGTGAATAGAGCCCAGCAATCTGCTTAACCAAGCTGTTCGGTGATTCTAGTGCACATGGCATGAGCAACAGTGGCTCATTTGAGAACCACTGAGTTATGAAATTGGAAATTTGAGCTTTAATCCTAGTTCTGCTTAACACAACCTAACAGAATGAATACCTAAGGGAAGTCGCTTGACTTCTGTCATCTTCAGCTTCTGAAATGACTGGGAGGTTGAGTTTTTGAGGGAAACTGCTCAAGAGAGGATCAGAGGTACAATTAGAGGAACTTAACTAGGATGCATGAAGAGGGGAATCAAAACCATGTCCAATGAGAAACAAGCAAAGAATAGGGATACTTAGCCCACAGAAGAGAAAATTGGGAAGTCATAATGTCTATCTTCATGTATTTAAAGGATTGGTGTGTGAAATAGAGATTTTTATGTTTCAAAATATAAAACTAGAGCCAGTAAAATGGGAACTACAGAGAAATGCTGTTTAGCTCAGTTTGACAAAATGTCTAACCATCAGAGCTGTTCAAAGATGGGATGGGCTACCTCATAAGGTAGTGCGGTCTTTCTCGCTGGAGGTGTTCAAAGATAAGCAGTTTAGTCACATGGAAGGAATTTAGAAAAGGACATTCAAACATATGGTGTGTGGTTGGACTAAAATGACCTTTCAGGCTTCTCCCAACCTGAGTGTCTGACATATGAAGTCTTTTCCTTATTTAAGTTACATTAATTCTATTAAAATTTCATTGCATGTTAGTGATTTTTCTTAAGATGTTGCTCTGTATTGTTCTGGGCTGGGTACTATAACTTGAATCTATGTAATCTATATATCTGTGAAGTACATGGTAGGAAGATTAGGATATTAGGTCAGCTATTTTTCCAGAACTGAAATTGTTTGGTTTAGCTTCTCAATTCCTGCTGGAGGCTGGTTGCTGATTCAGTAATTATGTGGAATGGATGGAGAAGTCAGGTAGCATGTTCCTTCCCCAAATGTTGTAAAGCAAATTGTTTCTCCAGCACATATAATTGAGAGATATAGTTGTACCCACATGTTTTAAGAACTTAAGAGGGCATCTTCTGGAAAATTCTCAGTTACATTCTTAGCCATTGAATTGGAGCTGTATATAATTCCTGCTTCTTGATTGTGCTTATACATACACATGTAGGCACCAATATGTTTCTCAATACTTAGTTTTGGAAGAGAAGTAGTCAAGAAGCATTTAACTCTAGGTGTTGATTACTTATCTAAATAAGTAGTCATCTATAGAGATTAACTGAAATTTAGTTTCCTTGAATTGCAGATATAGATGATTAACATATATTTAATTTTTAAAATTTTCTCTAAGAAATGCGTGAAGAGGTAAGGACATTAAGAAATACAAATAAGTAATTGCAGAATAGCCATGGAGATGTAAAGTACAGTATAGAAGATAGGGTAGATAAAAAACCTATAAGCATGACCCTTGGACATGAACAATGGTGTGGAGATTGCCTGAGAGCGTAGAGGATGCTGGGTGAGGAGGGACAAAGGCGGGAAAATTGGGACAACTATAATAGCATAATTAATAAAATATAATTAAAAGGAAAAAAATAAAATTTTCTTTAAGATGCATGTAAATATGACTATTTTATCATACTGTTCTTTCTTAACTTGGGGGTAAGGTTTATAATTTAATATACTTAACATAATTATAAGAATCTGTGATTCTCTCACCCTGAGGTTATATGGGAATAAAATTAACTTCCTATCATGATTTTTGGAGGGATGACCACTTTATGGTTTTTTAAAAAAGAATTTTAATTGTGCATGATGTTTGGTGGTATACATAGCTCTGAAGCTCTGGCCTCCAGGCAGTCATGTGGTGTGCTGACTTAAACATATGCGTATAGGATATGCAGCTACCATAACTACTGTACTAATTATTTGCTGATTATGATAGTGATAGGTTTGAGTATTTTGGACCTCAGAGGCCAAAATGAGAACATCAATGTTTTCATTGAAAGCTAGAGTTTTCATATACAGACAGGCATGGAAAAAGTAAATTAGTGTCTCCTTTTGGATTTTTATGGAAAGCCTTTTTGGTGGCAGAGGCTTGCTTTTATGGGAGGAATGTTCTAAAGGAAGGTGAGATGCAAGGCCAGTGACATTTCACTGTGGCTTTGAAACGCAGTGGTAGTGGCTGTATTCCCTGTAGCAGTTGATTCCTTCAGTGTGTAAGGTATGTTCATGTCTATGTTTCTGGGACAAGAGAAAAGCAGATGTTCTCTCAGAGTCACTAACAGTGAATGAAATAATTGATGTTAATAGTTGAAGATTTAAGCCTAATGCATTTTGTTAACTAAAATTCTTTAATTTGTCAATCTAACTGAATCAAAATTATTGTATGTAGGCAAGTAACAAACTTAATATAAACATTTATTGAGTATGTTGTCAATAACGGACAGTATTTGGGGTGATACAGAAGTGATTAACCTATAATTTCTATCCTCAGGGACTGGATTGTAATTTTTTCTAGTTGTTTTCCTGATTATAAAGGTGATTATATATATAATATATATATATACTATTATATGGAAAATAGTTTTAAATAGTTTTAAAATAGTTTTATATATATGTATATATATAAAGTTATATAATAATTATTGGTAATATGTATGTCTTATCCAAACATATTTGTATGTACCTAGAAAATTTGTATGTATCCAAATATATTTGTATGTACCTAGAAAATAACATTGATAATCCTGGAAATTATCAAATTATTACTGGTTACTATTAAAGAATGTGGGAGGAGAGGGTTGAGTGTTTACATACTTCTATATTACACACTTCTGTATTGTTTGAATTTTTACATACATGTATTAGTTTTGTGATATTTAAATGTTTTTTTGAAAATAATACATGTTCATTATAGTTGAAAAGTATAGAAAACTGAAATAAAAAATTGCCCATAATTGCACCACCTAAAAAATGCCATTGTTAACATTTTGGTGTATTCATCTTTCTTCTATGTATATTTTTTATATTGTTGGGAACAAATTGTATATGCTGCTTTAAACCTGCTTTATTTGCCTAACATCACAACATAATTATTTTTCCATTTATCTCCCAAATTTTATGTAATTATTTTAATGGTCACATTGTATTTCACCAAAGGATGGACAATAATTTAACCCCAGTGCTTGGATACTTGGGTTATACCCAGTTTTTCACTCCTATAACATTCTGAACATTTTCGTGTATAAAGCATTTTCTGTGATTTAAATTATTTCCTTGGAACAGATTACAGAAACAGAATTATTATGTTTGATTTGGACATTTAAAGATATTTGTAATAGTTAATAACATTGATTTTTTTTTTTAAAGTGGGAGAGTAAATACATTTTTACATAGACTGAATAGTCTCATGGGTTATGATTATTATTGTTTTTGGTTTTAGATATCTTCTGATTGTCTAGTAATAGTCAACAATCGTTGAGCACTTTGCTCAAGACCAAAATGCTAACGCTTTTCTTTTTCAGGACTTGGAGGGAGTGGATATCATCCTAGGCGTCTGCTCCAGTGGCCTTCTGGTTTACAAAGATAAACTGAGAATTAACCGCTTTCCTTGGCCCAAAGTGCTGAAGATTTCTTATAAACGGAGCAGCTTTTTCATCAAGATTCGTCCTGGAGAGGTATAGAATTTGTGTTTCTTTCCTCCTGAATCAAGCAAAAACCCTGTCTAAAACATTTCTTCCTTCCTATTTTCCTTGTTTTGTCATCTAAGAGGTCTCTCTATAGTTAAATATGCAGCAGCTGATACTCTGTTTTCTAAATCAGTCTCTCAATGCATTTCCTCCTTACTACCAGTTTTTTGGGCATTCCTCTTTATATAAGTAAATATACCAAGGCCAAAAGTGAAACTTGGATTGATAAACTTGTTCTTTGTTTACTCTAGGTAAAATCTTGATGGAAAATAGTTTTAAATTAAATAACATGAGATTTTTAAATTGTGGGGTTAAGTTACGTTTGTACCACCAAACTCTTACCTCATATAATTAAAATGCATTTGTATGTGTAGCTTCTAGTAGTTCCTGGGAACATATTCTAGGGTCAAGTTCTAGATTTTTAGTAGAGTTATTTAATTTTATGTCACACAATTTGGTTATTAGTTGGTAGGCAAGTTTTAGGATATACTAATTCTGACCAGTTCATGGTATAGCAGAAAATTGTTTAAGTAGGAATTAAAATTTTTAAAAAGTTCTAGCTCCCACTCTGGCCACATACTAAATAAAAGACCTTGGAGAAATCTAAGGCTCAGCTTCTTTATCATTCAAAGTGGGTAATACCTTCTCTGTCAGAGTTGAAGATCAAATGGGACAACAGCTGCAAAAGATACAAGCAGGAAAGCATCATACTAATGTAAAGTGGCTTTTGTGTGTATATCACCATCTGCTGGTGAAAATGGCTCATTATTTGAGCATGGACTGAATGTGCAGCGTTAAAAGTCTCATACAGATTATCATTGAAGCATTTATTTAGGACCATAATTAATTGCCTGAGCCTGTCACAGCAATCACTATCTTCCATCAAAGAGTTTCATTTAGTCAACAGATATTTATTAACAGCATTCTTTGTGACACACACACACACACACACACACACACTTCAATAAATTTGATAATTGAAGTCCTTGGTTTCTTTAAATGTCAACTCCATAATATATACTAAAAATACAGAATTCTTACTTTAGGAAAGCAATCAGGAACAACAGTAGAATTTTTAAGTAGAGAAGTTAAGTATTATGACTGTAGTAGATGATTTAGAAGTAGCACGGTTTAGTGGAAACCATGAAATTCTGGTTCTTCCACTTCATAGCTGTGAGACTGAGAAGTAACTTGTCTGACATCAGTTTTTTCACGTGTGATACTATCTAATCATAGTGATATTGGCAATAAGAGGCACTAGAAATTAATGTTAGTGTCCTTTCCATTTTAAAAAGTATGCTTAAGGCAGAAACAAAGAAGCAAGAGACCTACAGGACAGTGTTTCTAGCAGCCCTGGCAGGATATGGTTTGCTTCAGTCAAAGAGGTATTGAGATACTCCTGGCTGGTGTGGCTCAGTTGGTTGGAGTGTGTTCCTATAACTGAAGAGTTGAGGATTAGATTACCGGTCAGTGCATATACTTAGATTTTAGGTCTGATCCCTGGAGTGAGCAGGTACAGAAGGCAGCCAATTGATGTTTCTCTCCCTCCTTTCCTCTCTCTCTAAAAAACAATGAAAAGAAATGTCCTGTGGTGGAGATGGGAAAAAAAGAAAAGAAAAGAAAAGAGATATTGAAACAGAGTAATGATCAACCAAAGGAAAAAAATAATTCAAGAATTGGTTTGAGCCAAAGTCTAATCTTTAGTTTCTATTACAAAAAAAAAAAAAAAAAAAAAGAACTGCATTATAATACTGATTGATTGGAGGAATCATACCTATCCCATTCCCTGAGCATTGAGTAGTCTAGTACCCCAAGTGCAGGTGGTGACTCAGGAAGAGCAGTGTCTGGATAATCAAAAGGTGACTTAATTATGAGTCAGAAAAATGTACTCTGTGTGCGTGTGTGTTTCTGAGCAAAATAAGATGCATAAATAATATAAGATGCATTCCCTGGCTTCCTTGTTGTGGAAAAAGTCACCTCGGTGAGGAAATTTCTTTTTGTAAGTAGGAAAAATTTCAAATATTTTATGTCTTTAGACTAAGAATGTGGTTTTTATTCTTGATGACCTTTCCTGTAGCACCATATTTCTCTGGTCCTGTATCACTGTAGTCAAATAATCCTTTATGTTCTATGTTTATTTGTGTTTTTATAGCAAGAACAATATGAAAGTACCATTGGATTCAAACTTCCCAGCTACCGAGCAGCTAAGAAATTATGGAAAGTCTGTGTAGAGCATCATACATTTTTCAGGTATTGTTCTCACTTAAGTATTTTTCAAGGATAAATTATTTATGGATGTTTCTATTTTAAGCCTGCTATTAAAATTCCCTTCTTTGTATGGCTGGCATTCTTTTATTTAGCTCAGGTAAGATCATCTTAAGCTAGACAGAATGAATACATTTCTCCTTTGGGTTGAAAATCATGCCTCAATACTCCCAGAGCACCTTTCTGTGTATGGTAGAAGGAAGAGAAAAGTGAGGACTAGGAATCTCTGCTTACTAGGGTCTCTGTGATTGCCCTAACTGGAACTGAAATCAATCCTATCAGGAGGAGGTACTCTGAACTTACCTCCACATGCAATCTCTCTAAGCAATGCTTAACTACTTTCTGTGGGGCTTTTACTGGAAGGTTAAAGGTATGAGGCTGATCATTATCTTGGCTCTAATCAACCCCAGAAAGGGAGCACAGAAAACCATCTTTGATGCCCAATTGTATCAAATAATCAGAAGATAGAAGAAAGTTCTTATCTCCTCTAGTTTTCAAGAGGCCATATCATTAACCCCCTGTATTCATTTACCAGGCATTTTCTCTATGCTTACCCTTTGTGTAGGTACTGTACTAGGCACTGAGAATATACCAAAAGATAGTTCTAGTCTCTGTTCTGATGCAACATGCAGTCTAGCAGAGAATACAGACCATAGGCAAATAACTACTCATATTGAAAGGAGAGCCAGCTTTTTATTGTCAGCTTGCCTTTTTAAAAATATTTCTTTATTATGGAAAATTGCATATATAACAACAGTAAAGAGAATAGTATAATGAACTCACCTGGTACCTATCACCCAGCTTCAATAATTATCACCTCAAGGCCAATCTTGTTTTATCTAAAGCCCCACCCAGTTTTTCCTACTACTTCCCAGATTATTTTGAAGTAAATTCAAGACCTCATTTCATGTCATTCATAAATAAATTTGACTGTGTGAATGGCTTTCAAGAGAGAGAATCACGATACTTTTTCCTTCTATTTGTATTTTCATATCATACTTAGTTCTACAGCGCAGTGGACAGGAAGAAAAATCATAGAAAATAACATTGTGGTTCTCATTTCAAAATAAAACATGAAGGTACATTTTATATGCAATTAAATAATCTTAATTATTAGCATTAAGATATTTCTTTATGCTTTCATCATCCTCTTCTTTAAAATCAAACCAAGAAAATAGAATTTTTAAAAAGGGTAAGGAAAAGTAAAAAAAGTTATTTTGAATGTTTAATATCTATGATATAGATTTCAGCTGCAGCCAATGTATTTACTTGTAGGATAGCATATTTAAATCCATTGCATCAAAATAAGAGGATATATTATCATGTAATGTTTCGTTACTTAAAAGAAAGTCAGTATTTGCTGAATTAAAATGAACTATCTCCAAGGAAAAAATACTCTTTTTTTTAATAGTAGTTGATGTAGTAATTTTTTATTCAGCAAATATTTATTGAGTGCCAAATTCATGCCAGGCACTTTGCCAGAGGTGAAAACACCAAGAAGAATAAGTCATAGTCTTTTTCCTTTTCCCTTAGACAGCTCATAGTCTTGTAGTGGAGACTAGCACATGAATTGTTTCAATTCAGTATAGTAAATGCCATTACAAAAGAGAGCACAGGGTATTGCATAAAAAGAAGATGCGGTTCTTAACTGAGTGGAAAATACACTAAATAACCTATGAAATAGGTTACCAAGCATTAATGGAGTTTGGAGTGCATTTGACAGAATTATTCTAGTAGAGTAGAAAAAGCTCTGGGGTTGGACTCTGTTACTGCCCAACATCTTTACAGCTGTGTGACCTTAAGCAAGTAACTTATTTTTTGAGGTTCAGTTTCTTGTATCTATAAAATCATGACAATATTATGGGGATGTAGTGAAAAAATTACAGTGCTATGAAAGTGTTTTGAAAATTATAAGGCCCTATCTATAGAGATATAAGATAATATTAATATAGGGCACAAATAACTTATACATGTTGCTTTGAGAAATGACATAGAATTAAAATAATGATTGCTCGATTTGAAATCTGCCTTAGTAACTATAAGGAAACTTTGAGAATTTTGAAACTTAAAAATCTAGATATTTGTCTTTGACCTCACCATCTCCTTAGAGTGAGATAACTATATAATATATGATCATTATGTTTTTTCCCCCCAGACTGACATCTACAGACACCATTCCTAAAAGCAAATTTCTTGCACTGGGATCCAAATTTCGATACAGTGGTCGAACTCAGGCTCAGACCAGGCAAGCTAGTGCTCTGATTGACAGGCCTGCTCCTCACTTTGAGCGTACAGCAAGCAAGCGGGCATCCCGGAGCCTTGACGGAGGTTTGTACTGAATTTTGGTGATTTCTTATGTCCCCAACTCTTTAGGGAGAGATAAAGGAAGTACAGTAATCTATAAGAGAGACAAATTGAAGAATGTCATTGGTAAAATGAAATGGATCTCACTAATTGTCTAAGTCAGTGGAATCATCTTAAGAAGAGAGATTCAGAGAGAGTAGTGACTAGGCCAAGTTTCCATTGGTAGGAGGTAGTAGATTGAACACAACTAGAATTAGAATTAAAATCCAGAATATCTACCACAGAGTGAAAACCTAATGTAGTATACTGAAATAAAGCCCTCTTGAATGTTTTTAAATAGTTATTTTTTTCAAGTGGAAAAGAGGAAAAGGGTCTGTCTCACTAGAGCAGGCATTTAAAGTTTAGATCATTTGTCGTGTGGCAGTTATATACAGAAAGGGCAGTCCTGTTGTTGGAGCCTCCAAATTTTGTTAAAATAAAATAGTGAGAAAATAAGTTTCATGATTGTATGTTCTGACAGAAGATCTGTGTGAATTTTTCTTAGTCTCAAGGATTTGCAAGCATTATAGAAATGAAGTACCAAGCCATATTCAGTTCTTTATGCCACTGAAAAGAAAGGTGCCTAATAAATAAGTTCAGAAGACAGTAACCAAAGTAGAGGGTTGTTATGTCTGGTGCTCAGAGCATCTGCTTCACCAGCTGAAGAACTAAAACTAGTTCAGATCCCAGTTTATACAATAGTCACAAGGATAGCTGATAACGATAATGAAGATTTTCCAACTTATATTTTTGTTGCCCTTTTTGCTTTTCAACCATTTCCATATATTCCTATTTAATACCAACAATCATTTAGTACCAAAAAGGATTTAGGAATTTTGTTTTACTCTGGAGTAAACTAGGGCACAAAAAAAGTTACATAGCTTGCTAGGGTCACACAACCAAGAAGTTCATCCATTTGGTGAGTAGTGGTTGCAGTGATTTTTGCCAGAGGCATACACCTGTGTCATCTTCGGATCTTTAAAACAAATGCCCAAACCCCACTCTTAGATATCTCATCTGTCTGTGGTGGATCTGAGCATCAGCTGGCATTTTTTTTGGGGGGGGGGTGGTTTGTTTTGTTTTGTTTTTAAGATCCACAGATGATTCATGTGGGATCCCTCTGATAATGGAACCACTGATTCATTGCTATCTTCTATACCTGTACGATACTAGTAGAAATGGTGCTAGTAAGTTTCAGAGTTAGAACTGGAATTTGTCTCCTTTTACTCAACGTGATGGTTTTGAGTTTTACTCTTTACTGCTCTAATATATAACTGTCTAAGTTTATGTTGTCAGACAGGAGCAATATAATACTGGAATTAATAGGTCCATAAGATTATCACAACCTACTCTCTTTAAATATGGGAAATAATTGAATTTTCAGGTTATGTGTTCTCTATATATACATTAAAATCTTGTAATAGGTAACAAATGAATTCATAAAACTGAAGAGCCAAAACATCTTTAAAAATATTCACTACCTACAACACTGTGAATATACTAAAAATCATTGAACTATGCATTCTAAAATGGGCAGCTTGTATGGTATGTGAATTATATCTCAACAACCAGAGATACTACCATGATTCTCCGTTGTGGTCCATAGTTTGTAGCCTTCTTATTGAAAAGAGGAAAGAAATTTGCCTCCTTCTGTGGCTCCCAGGTTATAGCTTTCACTTGAATTGCATATCTGTGTGTATATAATTTTTGCCCCACATACTCTTGAAATAATATTAACCGATAACAAAAGAAATAGAAAGACTTAGGTATGACATTAGAAGTTATTAATATTTAGGGCTTATTAAGTATTTTTTAAAAGATTTTTATTTATTTAGAGAAAGGGGAAGGGAGGGAGAAAGAGAGGAAGAGAAACATCGATGTGTGAGAGATACGTCGGTTGTTTCCTGCACACCCCCAACCAGGGCCTGTAGCAGGCAACCCAAGCCTGTGCCCTGACTGCGAATCGAACTGGTGACCTTTCAGTTCGCAGGTCAGCACTCAATCCACTGAGCCACACCTGCTAGGGCAGAGTCTATTAGGTATTTTTATAGCCATTGAATATGCCTTCCCCAGCTATCCTATAGAGTTAATACCTTCCACATTTTACAAATGATGAAACTTTCTGCCTGTTTCTAACTGCCAGTTTCCACACTTATATCTACTTTTCCACATGTGGTACAGATTGCCAGGGCTAGGAATGCTGAAGACATAAATCATTTGGCTCTGCAATATTAGTATTGGATTAAAACCAAATGCAAGTGGCAAAATAACACATGGTGAAAGCATGGGCTATGTTTCTATGATGCCAGTCAGAGTTGAATTAATTCTTTGAGAGGAGGTGTGAATACACATGTATAATGATACTTTAACACAACTGTGAGCAAAATATTTTGTCACATTCCCCTGTGTTGTTAGATTTGGTTTGCCATCTGCCATTCTTGCATTGACTGGCTTAGAGCACCCATTAGTAGCAGGGACTTGCAACAGGGCATTTTTCATTGAAAGATAAAGTAGATTCTGTAGATTCTTGTGTTCTGGCCACTGCCCCCCTCCTTTTTTTTTTTTTTAATGTATCCTCTGAGGAATGATTTCTTTCACTGGAGATCATTCCAAGATAATGAGCATTTCTTTCTCAGTGTTGTCTGAATGAAGTAGGTGTGAATTTCAGTATTGGTTTTTTTAAATCTGTTCTGATTCATGGATTTCTTTGTTTTATCTAATCCTTACTGTTTATAAATCTAAATTTATCAGGATATTTTAAGTGTAGTATACTCAGTTTAAGAAGGCAGGAAAGTGTGTCATAAAACTTGTAAAGGTTTTCATCCTTACTGATGTGGCTCAGTTGGTTGGTCATCATCCTGCAAAGCGAAAGGTTGCTGGTTCGAACCCCAATCAGGGCACACACCGGGGTTGCGGATTTGGTCCCCATTTGGGGCACAGATGAGAAGCAACCAATTGATGTTTCTTTCTCACATCGATATTTCTCTCCCTCTCTTTCTCCTCCTACTCCCCTCTTTTTAAAAATAATAACGAAAACCTTTAAAAAAACAAAATTGTAAATGTTTTCATGCAAGCTAATTAAAATTTAACACTCTCAGTACCTGAAAGGATAATTTGTTATCAGAAATATTAAATCATGTGGAAACACACTGCAACCTTAGACTCTGCCGGATAAGTGAGGTTTTACTACAAACTGTATAGATGTTCTTAGTCCCTAGAATAACAAAGATAAATATCATAAGAGTGTGAGTGATTGTTTTTAATAAGTGATCTTAACTGTAGGTGCCAAATAGTCCAAACCATAACAACTATTAACTCTGTGAAAAGATCAAATTTTATCATAAACCTACATTGAACATTCTCTCTAAAATAGTCTATATATAACCTTTTTCAAACATTAATTTTTCTTAACCTCAGCAACCTTGGCCTGTACACACTGGATGCCAGTACCCCCTCCCACTTCTCTTCCCAGTCGTGGCAACCAAAAATGTCTCCAGACATAGCCATGTATTCTCTGGGGGGCAAAAGTTACCTCTGACTGAGAACTGCTGCCCTAAATATATTAGAGAACAGGAGTTATAATGCAGATTGATAAGATTTGAGGAGGTGGTAGAACAAAACTTGAAAGCTTGAGGGGGCATTGTTTGTTTCTTTTAAAGACTAATGGCTAAAGTTTTGACTTCATACTATTTTAATCAATTGATATATTAAAAAATCAGTGTTTGGTTCAAAGATGTGCCTTTAAACAGTCATCAAAAGTATACATGTCTTAGAAGATCCGTTTATCAGGTTATTTTGTAATCATTCAATAACAGAAGAACTCAGACTTAATCCTTTTTTCCTAGAATATATTTTTAAGTCCTTGAAATTACCGAAAAGTGAATCTTTATTTCAAAAAGACTTTATGGAAGAAATAAGACTTAATTAACCCCTCTTTTCCCCTTACATAGACTGCATTATAGGCTCTTGAAACTAACAAACATCTTACAAGGTTAAACAATTGCTAACTTTTTAATAAAATGAGCTTTCAATTTCTTTGCTTATTTTGACATCAGCGTCCCCACTCCCAACCCCCGTTCCAGAACATGATCACCAGCACATTTTAGCTTTTCTATTTTGGCTTTCTTATTACCATCAGTTGCCTGGCAGAGCATTACTAATTATTTGTTTTTATACCTTCTGTGTGATAGTCCACTGGACACTGTAGCACTCATATGTGTCAAGTGGCATAGTGACCCTTGCCTTCTTCACTCATTCTTCTCTTTTCTTTTTCTCATACGACAGCGGCTGTCGATTCAACAGACCGAAGTCCTCGGCCCACTTCTGCACCAGCCATTGCTCAGAGTCAGGACACAGAAGGTAGAGTGCCAGGTGCACCTGCTAAGAAAACAGGGGTTTCTAAAGAACAGAAGGAAACAGTACAGGTGGAAGTAGAAAAGGAAGACGTGCCACCTGAGCAAGCTGAGCTAGCATCCACAGAAATTTGGAAGGTATGTCATAAATCCAAGGATCTGGCAAATTCACTTTCTGATTTACAGGTGGTAACTCCTTGACCAGAAAGGTTTTCAAAGTGCTGATTCTTACAGAATCCTAATGAGGTTATTTCTTCCTCACTCTTTCTGAAAGAAGTTATCTCCCATGAACCTGTAAAATGCTTTTGTAGAGTTAATGTCATGAAGGTTATAAGCTATCCTAGAAGTTTTCACGTGACCCAACCTTTACCAAACTTTTATATTAAAAAATGAAGTCTATAAAACATAGTAGCACTGCGATTGTCTGCTTTTAAAAGTTAAGTTTTATTCATCCAGAAGGAATCTCCACATTCCTTTTTCAGAGTAAGCTATGCTACAGTTTGATAAGGATATGTGTGCAGCATAACCAGAGAAGATCCAGGTGTCATGTAAAGCACATCTGTGTGGTGGTTTAAACCTTCACTAGCTTTAAAAGGCCAGGAAGATCCATTATGTAGGAGAAGTTATAATATTGACTTGCTTACAATTCTGAGTTGATTGTACCCTTAGTCGCTGGACCTTGTTGAAAAATTACCAATTTAATTAGATTTCCCAGAAGTAGCAATAGCTAGACTGATCTTTTGTGTGTTGATAAGCTTTTTAAACATATTTAAGCAGTGATGGGGTAGAGGTACTAGTTCAGATTTAGTGGAGCATTGCAAATACAAGTCTCACTGTTGACAATAGGAATTAACAGACACAGTCTTTATAAGAAAAATGATATTTTTATATCTGTTAAGAAATTTAAAACCATATAAGATCTTAGTAAGAGCTCTCACCTTGGTGGATGGATTAATTCTGTTCTTTTGGAGTCAGTTCAAAATTTAGTTTATCTGTAGAACAGAGGCCATTTGGGCTGTTTTGACTGTATTTAAAAAACTGTTCAATATGACATGCAGTTTTACTGTCCTTTGAGACCAACTTGAGTCCAGAGAGGAAAAAAGTTGACTGAAGGGTGGGCGTTAGCATCTTTGTACCTAGTCAAAGGTGCATGACAGTTGCCATCAGGTTCAGTGTCAACAGTGCTTTTTTAATATTAGACTACCCCGGTTTTTAATGTTAGGATCTCTCACCTGGCACTTTTAACTGTTATACTAACTAGAAAGTGTTAGATTACTGGAGTGAGCAAGGGAATCTTTTTGAGTAGCTAAGGTTCCTTTCGCTTTCAGCTAACTTGTTCTTTTGCCTGTAGACAGACACAAGTACCTTCAAGAAAGGTTCTCTTAGCTCTTGGGACCTTGGCAGAGTCAAGAGATAACTTTCTGGTATATACTCCCCATTTAAGTGCCTGCAGAAGGGCTTCTAGCCAATTAATTCTGTATAGTACTGTTTTAAGCTACTTGTGTGGAAATCAGACTGAAAGCCACCTCATATAACCTTCTATTACCATAATAGTAGTAACAGAATTAAGAGTGACTCTGAGTTGATTTTATTTGTAGCAGTTAGAAAATAATTTTGGAAATTATCTAAAGCTATATTTATTGCATAGAGCAGTAATAGTAATAAAGTAGTCTTGTAACTGGGTACATTTCATTATCTGACACTAATTTGATGCCAGTTAGAGCCTTTTGGCATCTTTAGTCATTTGACAAGACCTATTTTGCAGGTGTGTACATCTTTATCTTACTTAAAGTTCTCTGTAGGGACATACAGAAAACTACTGTTCCTACTTGGCCTCCATCCTTTGAAGTAGAGACTGTCAATTTCTTGCTGTTGGATTGCTAAGAACCCAAAGCAAAAAAGTCATTATTCATTTACACAAACAGCTTAAGCTTTACAACTACCATTTGCTAAGCACTCAAAACTCTGTGAAGATACTATTTCCATTTTATCAATAAAAAACTTAACTCAGAGAGGTGAAGTAACTTGCTAATGGCCACACAGCCAGCATACTGGGATTCAGAGTGGAACTGACCCAAATTGTTAAATAATAGTAATTACCTCTGGTAATTAAAAGTGGTATTGCTGGGTGTGCTTATGATTTGACAGTGTCACAAGGTGTGGTGTTACCTTATGTTCTTCACTTTCAGTCCTAGAGAAAATAGCACAATGACATTGTACTCTGAAGTACTGCTGCCAGGTGTGACTGAAAAGAATAGCCAAAACGATTGATTGATTTGGTCCTATAAAGAACTTAATGATGCAAAGTGATTGAATTGACCCTTAATAAAAACAGTTTTCTCATTTTGAGATATCCAGTGTATTAGGCATTGCTCACTTTATTATGCTTCCTTTTACTAGTCTGTGTAGGTTGTTTATACTTACTCCATTTGAGGTGTATAAAATGGCTATTACAAAGATATTTCAAAATTAGGCAGGAGGCCTTAGTTATTCTCTTCCTAGTGTTAAGGATGAATCCTACCCATTCAACAAACACGTGGGTTCCAACTCCCTAGAGAGGAAGTTACAGTGTGTTGAATATTGCAGCTGAGCCCTGTGTGTGTTTATTTATAAACCAGTCTTGGTAATAATTGCATGTATCAGTAACAATTTGGATTAAGTTTATTTTGATGTTTTGTTGTCTAATAAACGCAAGGGTGAAACTGCCTCCTTAAATATATTGATCAACTAACAAAATGTTTTGTATTTACCTGCTTAATGTTATATGTGGTTTATTTATATGTGTGCTTTAACTGTAAAGATTTTCTTTTTGTTTCTAACTATCATGTATGTCATACATTAATATCTTCACTTGTAAATTTGTTTTTAAATGTTATTTAAGGTACTTTTGGATCATTAAAAAGTAAAACAAAAACATAGCTTATTTAAGCCTAATGTCTTTAATAAGTACATTTTTATAAATAAATATAAAATACTTAATCCATCAGTAGAATAATTACCTTAACGTTCTTTTTTTTTGCACATTTGGCTGTCCATATTATCTCCTCAGCCTTGAAAATGTGTTGGTGAACTAACAAATTACTCTTGAGAGTAATGTCCTTTCCTGTTACACCCCCTGAAGGCTGCATCATGATGATTACATATCGGTTTATTTCAAAACCAGCTTAAGGATGCAGCTTATTTGGAAACAATGCTATTCATAAAAACCTACTAACCTAAAATGTTTTTACCACTTTATTTCTTAAATGTAGGTGGAAAAAACCCACATCGAGGTCACAGTACCCACCTCAAATGGTGACCAAACACAGGTTTGTGCCAGTAGGCCACTTGTTCCCTTCCCCCTCCCTCCTCCCTCCTCAATTTTTTCTACCCCCCCCCGCCCCTCTCCTTAAAAAAGTGTAAAATGAAGGTTCACGTAAACTTCAATGAGCCAATATTTTATCATTTTTCTTTCTTTTTTTTTAATAATATCAAAACAGAAGCTTGCAGAAAAAACTGAAGATCTGATAAGAATGAGGAAGGTTAGCCATTTTTCACTTCACGAAACTGCATTAGCATCACCCATGCTGACTTTTACAGTGCATTAAAAAGACAGTGATCCACTCTTTTCATTGATTTCTCTTAATCAGAAATTACTTTCAGATAGTAGAAAAATATATGTATCTATATGTGTATATGTACACACATATGTATACAAAAGAAATTATAATCCTGTACTATATATTGAAAATTTTTTCCAGTAGGAAAATATCTTTTGAAACATGAAATAATTACTAAAGACCAAACCTATCCTTATTAAACTTTATAAGAAATATTCGCAGTGGTACCATATTCTTAAGATCATTGGCAATGTTTTATACATATTTATTATGAAACCATCGTAGCATCTCCCAGCATTGTTAATAACTTTGTGTTTGGCTTCTCTGTGCCTCTTTTTTCCCAGCTCTAGAGTGGGATGAATCAGTTTCTACTGAATATAATATTGAATGACCATATATAAAATGCCCATAGATCTCTCTTATGGAAAGTATTAGAGTATACATACTGCAGTATTACTAAGTATGAAATATGTCAAAAAACTAAAGTCTTAAACAATTCCTCTACTCTATAGAACATGGAGTTTCAAAGCTTCTTAATCATGTATTTTAAGATAACCCCTCAACAGCTCAATTTCAAAAATGAACATAAAACAACTTTTTACATAAGAAGCCAATGAAGCCAGGAGCACTGTCTATTTAAATAACATCATCACATTCTTCCATCATTCGTGAACAAGGTCATTTTCTGATGGTAATTGTGTTCTCTGTGTGTCTTTGTGGTTTTGTGATCATTTCATGTTGGCATATGCTATGCTGTAAACATTTAATTTTAAATAATTTTTGGTTTGCCAATTTGCAATTTTTTCCCGCAAGAACGACTTTTTAATTTTTTATGCTTTTCTGTTTTTCCCCTCTTTCATTTTCACAGAAAAAGAGAGAGAGACTAGATGGTGAAAACATTTATATCAGACATAGCAATTTAATGTTGGAGGTTTGTATGAACTTGAAGCTTATTTCAGTTGGTTGCCTGTAACCTTCTGCATTCTTTGCTGATGCCCCTTTCTTCTTTCTGTGCTGCATTTGGTTTTGCATGCCATTGCATGAGACAATTTTAGGTTTAAAATGCTTTTGCATGTTGGTGAACATGAAGATCCGTAACCATCTCACCTGATTTCTCTTTAGTTTCCATCTCTCATACTTTCCTGAAGAATATATGATTGGGACTTCCTTCACCTGTTATGGTTCCATTGTTTTACCCACTTCCGGAAAATTTATATTGCTACTAAAAAATTCTTCAAATTTTCCAAGAGTATAAACTACCCTATGTCCCAAGCATCAACTTTTTTATCTTCTGAACTGGAAAAGTAAGATGTATGATCACAATTCAAAATGGGCTTAAAATATTGGGGACACCAGAAAATGACAGAAGGACAGTCGGGGGGGCCGGAAGTGCGATAGAGGAGGGAAAAAAGGGAACCTAGCATGTAATGGGTAGTTAGTATGGCTAAGATAGTTTAATCATAAAAACAGGTGTGTGGGTATGAGATTATTATTTTAAAGATGAGAAAATTGAATCTTAGAGAAATTAAGTAATTTCCCTGTGGTCACAGAACTGGTAAATTGGTAAAGCTAGGGTTTCAGATAGGGCCTATCTAAATTACTAAACTACACTTTTTTCCCCATTCAGAAATAGCAACATACTGTCTGCTATAGCAATTGGAAGGTCCTTTTCTTGTTATATTCAACACTGGTTAGATTTTTACCAGAATTATGTTGCATACTTCGTCTAGTTTTGGGCTCTCCGCATTGGATAAAGAAATATACATGTAAAACTAATTAAAAGATTCAGGGAACTCTATGAGGAAAAATGAAGGAAACTAGAATTATTCTGTGTGGAAAAACTGAGGCCATGTTAGTTTACACATTGAAAAACTCTTATATAAAAGTTGGTGACCAGATTACTTTACAGTTCTGCCCCAGACAGACAGAGCCAAAAGAAATTAGCACAAACTCTGATATCAGGGATTTAATTTAGATATAAAGGAAATATCAATATATAGGAAGAGGATAAACATGATTCCTGTGTTCAGGAAGCTTACAGCGTGGGGAAGTAGGGAGGAGAAAAACAGTTAAGTAAACAAATAGCAATTAAATGATGATGAAGGAAATGAACCATGTGTTGTGCTAATGAAAGGGATCTACTCTGAATAAGATGGACAGGAAAGTTCTCTCTAAAGAGACATTTTAACTAATACCTGAAAGATGAACATATATTAAATGTGGTCAATATTATTAATCTGGAAGTTTGAAAATACTTTTTTAGGTAGATCTCTGTAATGGTCTCTACTAATTACTTAAGTTCGTCTTACTCTATGTCAAAACATATTTTGAGTACCTGCTATGTTTAAGGTACTTTGATGAAAGTAGCACAAATTATGGCCAGCCGTCATTAATCATGTACCCCGTGGTGGGCACAATACCAAGTAGTCTACATACATTTACCTCATGCAACATAGGTTTTGCCAAGGCTGGACTCTAGGATATTTCAGATGTGGCAACTAGATCTCTTTTCTTTAGCCCAGAACTGAAACTAGATCTGAGTGGTTCCTCTTCTGAGATTAGGAAAAATAACAGATGTCAGTTGATCTCCTTGAACTCAGCCATATAACATCTCCCAATTTCAAACATGCCTATTTCTTGGCTAGTCCATCTTTAGTGCTTCTTCTTAACTGGAACCTGCAGTACCAATCATATATTTGTCATTCGTTCCATAAGTGTGTTATGGCTTCTGAGACTCATAAAGTCCCTTGTGTGTGATGTATTTTTCCCTGGCATTTCATTGACGGCAGTGAGAGGGGATTTCTAATAAGTGTGTGTTTGAAAATTAAAACTACTAACTACCTTTTGAGAATATTTTATATTAAATGAAGTGTTTGGTTTGATTGCTGCTAAAATTATAATACGATAGGCATCAAAATGTGTCTAACCTGAAACAACTAAAGTAATTTGGCTAACCATCATTCTCTAGTTATTGTAAAAGTTTGGGGTTTTTTTTTGTGTGTGTGTGTGTTTTGTTTTTTTTTTTTTTTTTTCCTCCTAAGGAAGTTCTCTCAACCTATCTGTCACTCTAGCAGTTTTTTTTTAAGCATTCCTCTCCCTACTCCTCCCCCACTCCCACTAATGCTTTGTTCTGGCACAAATAAGGTCGAGTTCATTTTTAGATGTACCACCTCCTCCTCCATCTCCCAGAGGGAACTTGTAGCAAGTCTCTATGACAAATTCTATTTGGAACAGGTCCCTTTGAGATCTTAATTTTACTCTGTGCCCCCACAGGTTTCCAACACAGCCAGCAAAGAAGGATGGAGAAAGCTCCCTCAGAAGCTACTGATGTTACTGAAACATTTATTTTCTCAGGTTCCAAGCCAATGAAAAGATAGATAAGAAGAGTAACATATCTCTCATGTTAAAAGGCTAACCTAGAGAGTTGTGGTTTTACCATAGCATCTCTTGCTCATTTTTGTTTTGCTCCATTCACACTTTTAACTCTCCAAAAAATGTTAAGTTGTTTTTGGCCCAAGCAGATGTCATTTCCAGTCAGGAGCTGGGTCTCAGGGCCTTACATGCCTGGTAGTTCTCAGTTGCTCAGCCTACTACTGAGTCTTTGACTGAGCTTGTTCATGACTTTTCTTTAGCTAGTAAATATCCTATTCTTGCTTTCAGCTAGAACGAAAGCGCAAACTGTTGTTTCCTCATGGTGAAGCCTATATTCATGAGTTATATTCACACTTTATCCCAGAAAGCTACAAGATTGCCTTTGTGGGGTTAGTTTTCTCTTTGAATGACTTCAAAGCTAATATACATTATTCATTCTTGCAAAAATAAAGAGAATTGACTATTAAATGAATTTTTTGAATGAATATCTCCAGAATCAAAATTCCGTCATGCATCTCACTGATTCTTTTTTCCTATGCTATTTTTCCCTTTGACATTGCTTTAGAAAAAAATCTAATTTACTTGAAGTCTCAATTGTTTCAGAAAAACACTTTTTAATTAAATGGGTCCCAATTTCTTTTTTCCAAAATGAGGCTGTTTCCCACAGAGTCTAAAAGAATAAAAAAGACTAATCCCAGAAATTCACACAGCATATTAGGAGATATATTTAGTATTATGCTTTTCTTGGATACAGAGCTGCCTTGATACATAATAAACACAGAGTTTTTAGCAGTTATCAAGTGACAGACTCCCACATATTTTGATCTCAAGCATAGATCTTTTGAGTTTTTTCAGAGAAGTATTTTGGACAAAGAACATTCGCATTCTTCAAGTTGTATTTCTCAGAATATTTCTGGCCAATCTCCCTTTTGAAAGTTGTTAAATACTTCCTATTACATAAACCTAAATATTTCTCATTATATCTAGCTTTAGTAACCTTAGTTTTGATCATTTCTCCCTAGAATATGCTCTTGAAGAGCTTACCCTTAGTTGTCCAGTATGCAAATCTGCTGAAACAGTTGAGGTATTTTATTTATTCTTTTATTTTTTATTATTTTTTAATACTCACCTAAGGATATATTTTCATTATTGGCTGTTAGAGAGAAAAGAAGGAAGAGGGAGGGAGGGAGAGAGAGAGAGAGAGAGAGGTTGTGGAGGGAAGAGAAACATCGATTGGTTGCTTCCTGTATGTGCCCCAACTGGGAACTGAACCCACAACCTAGGTATGTTCTGTGACCAGGGATCAATCTCACAACCTTCTGGTACGTGGGATGGTGCTCCAACCAATTGAGCAACCCAGCTAGGGACAGTTGAGATATTTTAAATCATCAAGGATATATAAGTTATTTGATGAACTCTTGTTGAATCACTCCCCATTCATTGAAAGTTAGTAGAAGAAGGTCCATATTTTGAATGGTACTAAGGAATGAAGTGACGCTGTCAGGAACTAGGAAGCTTAACCTTTTAGTTTGTGCGAATAGTATTGGCAAAGGAAAAAAGCCATTATATTACATACCCCTGAGTAAATATTCAGAGATAGTAACAGTCTGCTCTGAAGGCTTGAGTCACAAATTTCAACAATTTTTTTTTTTTGTAATCTTGGAACCAATCATTTTCTCCCAGAGAAATGTTTTTTTTTTTAAAAAAATTGTAGTTGACATACAATATTATATTAGTTTTAGGTGTACAATATAGTATTCAACTTTTATGTACTGGTAATAAATTCTTAAATCAAGAAAGGGCTATTTCTGTTTACCAGAAACCGACAACAGCCACCTAATAATAGGGAAGCAAAACAATTTCTAGGTAGAAATAGAGGAAACCGTACAGTTACAACTCACCAGTGCAAGGCAGTCAGTGATGGAAACTGAATCTTTCACCATGTCCTTCATTTAACAATTTTTCCTTGTCTATTGCTATCTCCATCCTGCCTGAGCTGAGCCTAAATCAGTTCATACAAAGCTGAGGCTAACTGAGTTGTGGGATTACCTTCTTGGGATGAGGAGTTGGAGAGCTAGCTCTGTGTCATAATGGGAAGAAGAGCTATAAAATTGAGTGAGCTCCTTATGGGTTATATAACTGCTAAGAGCTGTGGGGTTATGATGCTTCATTGCTTCCAAGGATAGCACTTTGTTTAAAAAGAAAAAGCAAGCAAATATACCATCTTGTATATTTACAATTTGAATGCAATTTATGGCTTAGTAGTATCTATCCTGGATGTGGTGTGTTTTCTACCGGTGCCCATAGTCTGTGATGGGCTTCCCTTGGTGTGTTTTTTTCCCTCTGAGTATTTATTGTTTTGCATCTTTGTCCTTTCAACTATAGGATTTAGACAAAAGTCAAGAAGAGATCAAGAAACATCATGCCAGCATCAGTGAGCTGAAAAAGAACTTCATGGAATCTGTACCAGAACCACGGCCTAGTGAATGGGACAAACGCTTATCTACTCACTCTCCATTCCGATCACTTAACATCAATGGCCAAATCCCCACAGGAGAAGGAGTGAGTACTCTGTCCACGTGACCAGTTGTGCGCATGAGTGAAATAAATGTTTTTGTATATTAGTGTTCTGTATCTGAGAGAAAGTTTAGGGCTGAAATTTTTTTTTGGTGCCTTGCCCATTCATTGCAGCTTTAAGGCATTCATAGTCAAACACTTGTTTTTAAATCATATGGACTACCCAGTCTAATTATGGGAGCCACTAAGAGCTTCTGGTAGATGATTAGGGTCTGAGAGCTCTCTCTGTAGCTTCATGCTAGTGTGTGTTTACAAATTGACCATAAGCCAACGGAACTTTATGTTCAAACTGTGTCTTCAAGGACCAGAGAGTTTACTAAATTTAGTAAGGTCAAAATTGGAAAGGAATAAGCATTTTTTAAAAACTTTTTTTGAACATTTGTACAACTTAGAAATGTCTGGAATGGTTGACCACAATTATATAATAAACCCAGGAGGCCCCGAAGCCAGAGAATGTAGAATACCAAGTATTAATCATTGTGCTTCAATTTTAGAAAAGCAATTGATTTTTTATTTTATCTTTATGAGTAACATCAAACTTTTAATATACTGTTTTATAGCATAGTCACAATTAGAAGAAGCCAGAGATACCTTTCAGGGGCTTCTCTCTATCATACCTATTCTTTTATATTATTGTTGTCATTACTTATTTCAGAAATTCCACACCTAAATAAATGAATCTGTGTAATGAAAAAGTTACCTTGAGCATATGTTAAAAATTCTTTACTTAATCTTTAGCCTGTCAGGCTAAATATTTATATAAATAGTCACAATGACTCAATGAGCTATTGTAATGATTTTTAAATTATATGCTTGTTTTTCCCCCAAAGCATTAACAATTCTAGTTAAGAAAGGTAAAGTGATGTCTTAATAATTTTAAAAAACTTGTTTTTATATTTAGAATTTATGATAAACTACCCAACTTACTTAGTTTCTGGAATTGGAGAAGATAATAAAAGTTGGTTGACAAAGCGTACTTTTTATATTTTTCAAATTGTTATTCAAATTGACTAATGATCCTCTCAATAATATCGAGCCAATTTCACCGAGTAAGGGTGGAGCATTCCTGAAAGACGGACAGCTAAACAGGGTTACCAGGGATGATAGGGTGCAGTTGTTCCTATACATTGTCCTCTTGGTCTCCTTGCCCTGATATACATGGACATTAGTTTTGTATTTTAAATCTAGCAAATGTCCCCTGAACTGACTTTTTTCTCACAGAGAAAATGCCTTGTTGCTCTCTCGCCTGGTAACTGCATATTTCCTAGAAGTTTTCTTTTTGAATCTGTACAAACAATAAAAGATGTTTAACTACTTTGAAAAAGTAACAGTATTCTCTTGGATGAGGTTTGGTAAAGTTGAACCAGTCTCCATTTCCAGAAAATATCTTATATCTTAATAGAAACCCTTCAGAAACCATCTCAGGGCTGGTTTGGGGAATAGCTATGTCATTCTGTGGACTTTTAAAGAAATGACTCTTTATAAATTGAATTATATCAGTGGGGATACTCAAGCCACTTTAGCTCTCTATGTATATTATCCTCTAAAGGACAGTGGAATAAATAAGAACTGTACTGTAATAATCTTTTATATAGGATAATTCCATTTTCTGGCATATCTTACTTTTTCTTTAATAATTAGGACAATATTTCTGTTCTCTGGGGATATCTCTTCCACCTTTGACAGCATTGTTGTTGCATTGCAAGCAACTGAATTTTATATAATTTGTGTATGACCAGGTGAAGAAAACCTCTATCCTTCCCTCGGAAAGAAAGGTTGGTGGGCCAGAGGTAAAGCTGCTGTTACGACTTGTGCTTCTCAATCACAGTTTGCTCTTGTCATGGCACTAAGCAGATAATCCCCCCAGAATCAAACAGCAGCTGCTGAGTAATTTTTTTTTCTTTTGGCTATACTAGTAGATTCACTTACACCACCTTTGACCTAACACATAACATTTCCACTGCTGCAGCTTTTGCAGCTTTCAATTTGCTTATTTTGGCGCATGGCTGGTTGAAAAGCTGCATGAAGATATAAATATGTATTCAGAGAAAAAATGAAGTTAATTGTACCCTATTCTTTTTATGTTGTCTTTCTTCTCCCCTTTATTTTCCTTTAAAAATCATTATTATAATTTTGCATCCTTTCTTTTCCTTTTTTTCTTTTTTGCTGCCCAGTCCCCCAGCTACTTTCTCCCTGATACATATCACTTAGGGGTGTGCAAAGAACCAGTGTCGAACTTCCAAACTGATCCAAGAAGGCTGGCCCAACTGAGAGAGCTCAGAGCCAAGTTTTTCCTTTCATAGATAATATCTGTCTTGCCTGGATGGCAGAGTACAGACATTTTGGGGTTGGGGGTTAAAATTGGACAATTATAAAAAAAAATAACTTTCCTTAAAAGCGTCAGAAGTATTTGCTTAATGTGATGTATAAATCTTTATGATGGTCATTATTATTATTTTTAATCATAATTCCAAGAGAGAGGGGCAGGGAGTTTGCAATTGTTAAGATTTGTGATGGGGGTAGGGTTTGGTAGACCTTGGAGGCACATACAAACTTTTATACTTCTTTTTCTTTTCAGTCTTTAAAATGTATAGGATTAAGATTTTTATTCTCTTGAGCAAAAGCTAATTGCTGCATTGAATGAACCGTTACAGTTTTTAAAATCTATATGGAGAGACATGAGGATAATTTTTTATAGTCTACCGTTCTATTTGTAATAAAGGCAACTTTTCTGATGGCAAGAAGAATGCCTCATTATTGGCTTTGTCCCATTGATCTAAGAAAAGATGGCAGCACCAAAGCAATGAAAAATGACCCAAAATTCTTATGCATATATCCTTGAAGGCTGAATAAGTACTATAAAGAAGTCCATGATTCCTTGAACTTTCAGGACTTCTAGTGTTCATTCATTAAAAAAAAAATTATGTATTGACTACTGTGTTATAAAAACTGTGCTGGGGTGAATTGACTAAGTAAGTAAAATAGACAGTCCAAAAGATCTTCCCAAATCCTTTGCACATCCCCAAGTATCATTTTTAAGCATTTTTCATCTGTCATTTTGTTCATCTTTCTCTGTCTTTCTTGATCTCCTATCGTGAAAGCAGACACAGGAACGTGCTCTGTTAGTGCAGGATGAAGAGAAAATTAAAAGGCAAGAGAGATCTACTGAAAGAGCTTTACCCCAGCAAGAAAATGAAGAAATTCTTCCCAAGGTTTCTATTCCAATCCCTGAGGATCACAAGTCTTTCAAAAAGTGCCACCTCTACTCTAGTACTTTTCCATCTCCTCGTATTCCTTTCATGATGTCTTTTCTCGTGGTTCTTGCATTGGCTGTTTGGTGGTTGGTCTTTCTGTGATCGGAAAACAGGGTGCTCATCTGAAATGTCAAGACTAAAACTGTCAAAAACTTGTCGTTGGCTTCTGCTGTGTTATCTCCTGTATGATGTTCTCTGATCTTGATAGTTCATTGTCCTAGGAAAGCTCTTGTGATCATTTTTTTGTCAATAAATGTTACTCTTTGTAGAATATGTATTATGGGTTACAAAAGAGTAGGAATAGATTGCCCAAGCCAGCTTTCCTTACTGAAGTTTAACAAGTTTAGAAAAATCAGATTTAAGCATATGGTAGGTTGGTACTTTCCCCAAAAAGCTTTCGCCTTTTTCTGCATGTTTTTATTTATTGTTGCTATGTCCTCTCCAATGTTTCACACAAAGCAAGATACTCTGTAGAAACAGTAGATGGAATAATCTTCTGTAGTCATTTGTGTGGCATGGGCTTTGTAATTTTAGAAAAAAATTCAACTTGCTAACCTTTCAAAAGCCTTAAAAATGAAATGTTTTAATCTATGAATCCAAAACCACTCCTTTTCTTGTGATATCAAACCAATATATATACACAAAGGCCTTTTTTGGAAAAGGGCTTTTGTCTTCTGTGGCCTTCTTAATGTGTATTTCGGAGAAGTTCAGGGACAAACAACTTTATCCTGCCTCGTGTAGAGAAGAGATCTGCAAAGGTTAAATGCCATCTTTTCACAAGTAACATGGTGGTGGTTTAAGGAAATTGGTGCTGGTGTCCCTTAGCCTCCAGGCAGGGCTGAATTTTCCAGACTACTCTACCTGTCTTTAAAAGTCCTGAAATACAGATTTATTCAAGATCTGTTTATAAACATACCCTCTGCTGAATTAAAATACTGTGTTACTTCTTTATGACTTAAGTAATTATATTGCTAGAAGCAATATTTAGCCGTATGGTAAGCTTAAAATATATATTGATATATTTTGTTTTCTTGATACATTTCAGACATGTTTGTTCTTAACATTTGTGTTGAAATCAATTGTTTTTAATCAATGGCCTTGTGAGCTATGAAGTTCTATGTGACAAGTGTGTGTCCTTTGTTTGCATGTTGATTTTTAAGACTTTACTAAAGTAAAGATGAGCGTGCTCTCTATAACACAACTTAGATGTCTAACCTGTTATTTTTACCTCAGCATTAATGAAGTCTTGCATGTAGCTTGCTTTCTTATGGCACTTGAATGTACCAATATGGATGATTTGGTTAATGTTGTCTCAAATATTTGTTTTGAAACCTGAGTACATAGGGTTATCAAACTGAGATTATTGCACTTTATTTTACTTCTTAATGCTTTTCAGTTGATGAAACTGCTAAACAAGACTTTTTGTTTTTACGATGATGGCTTCTTAGAGAAAAAAATAACCAGTAAAGCCAAGAATCTTTTGTCCTTCATTCACCACTATTGTTTCATTGTCTCTGTGGATGTGCAGAAATAATTCTCTGGTATTCCTGAAAACTGCTACTCTGTGATTATAGGCTTTCCAAAGAAAAAAAGAAAAGGGAAAAAGAAGCAAGGGTTGGGTTAAATTTAAAAATCTGGTATGAGTGTATATCTTTCATGTCACAGATTATGTCTATTTACAACAAGTATTTTATAATTAAGAGTATTTATTGATTTTCTCATTATAAGGGATCTCAAGTCAACCTGAAATATTACAAAGTTAATCTCTAACCCAGAAAGTGATCATCATAAATACTCCCTTTTATCTGTAAAATAGAGATATAGGAACTTTCCTTGGTTTAAATTCTTTTTTCAAGGAACTAAAAAGGAAATAATCTTAGAATTTTGTTGATACTTTTATAACTGTTTCAGAGTATACTTCTAGTTTTTATTCCTATACACAGGTTTTTATTAATTATTATTGTAAACTTCACCTTGAATTTTGTTTCCCTTTGTATTGGTGTTATTCCAAGTTCACTAAACCTAGTGTAAGCCAACAGTACTTTTCAGTTTTATTAAGTGCAGCAGGATCCTTACTCATGTTGGAGGAGAAGGGCCAGTAGCGGTCTCAAAAGCCACATCCAGCACAATTATCAGAAGAAAAATAGTGGACACGACAGCTTTGTATTACCTAAAGTTAGTGCTGCCTATATTGGTAACATAAAACTGTAAATAGTTTTGATTTCCTTCTCATACTTCATTCCATTCTCAATACCAGAGATAGATCCTAGTGACTGTGTTGCAGGGGTGTCCAACCCATGGCCTGCGGGCCACATGCGGCCCAGGATGGCTATGAAGGTGTCCCAACACAAAATCATAAGTTTACTTAAAATCTTTTCTTTTTCTCATCAGTTTTCATTAGTGTGGGTGTTTTTAATGTGTGGCCCAAGACAATTTTTCTTTTTCCAGTGTGGTCCAGAGACACCAAATTATTGGAGACCCCTGGTTGGTTTTACCCTGGTTCAGTTTCTTAATGGTAGGTTGATAAGTAAAAACCAATTTGGACTGAAGTTGTTAATACAGACCAGCAAAAAGTCTTGTTTTTGCCTTGATTTTGTTATTAATTATTTCTAGGGTGATTGAGAGTTTCACTTAGACTTGCCTGATGTCCAGATTCCCACCTAGCAATAATGCAGAAACAAGCCTACCTCATGGGAATGAATCTGCAACATGTTCCAGGCACCAGAAGCTCTGGTTATTGTTCAATTCTTGATCTTCTAGGGACCAGGAAGACGGAAACTAAAAAACAAACACACGTCAACTTCTTGAAATTTTTTATATGAAAGGAAGCAATTAAATAGCTGTGTTTATTTCCATCTACTCCTTATTGGCATTTGAACAAGTCCTTAAAACTACTGAAGTTAAAAATGTCTTTCCAAATTCTTTATACTCTTAAACAATTCATCTTACCCATGTAGTATACTTAGAGTGGGCCACTATACTTGTAAATAAAGTGAGCATCAGTATTTTGGACCTATCTTTTAGCCATTTTCTTATGCTAATACTTGGAGTATGAAGGAGGTTCAGTTTGCATGGGCCAGTTTTACTACTTGTTTACAGCTTTGGTAAAAGTTTTGAAGGGAGAAGACGTTGACTCCGTTAACTAACATTAACCTGGGATTATCTGTGGGTTAGATATCCAGATCATCCTAATTCCTCATACCCAGTACACTTCTTCCTATTATATATTATTACAAATTTTAGTCTGAAATTTCTGTGGATAGAAGTCAATTCACTTTCTCCTCCTTTACTAAGTCACTTCTGTAATACTTCCTACAGATAAAAATGTAGGACACACTAGGCGTTAGGGGTTCGGTTATTTTTAGAAAACATTACCAATCAAAATTTATATTTAGGCTTTACCCCATAATCATCTATTTTCGAAAAGAAGCCCTGAGTCAAAAATAATGAGACATTTTCTTACGGGTGCTTTTTTTTTTGCCCATGGTATTGAGTATAGTAAAGACATACAGAACTTCTCC